TCATGGTGATCCGCTGGCAACAGCCACCACCATCATTCACTTCCAGTCCTCAGCCTTCACTCTCAATGGCTGCCACTAGTGGGGGTAGACAAGAACCAGAGCAAGAGATGGACCTCGTAGTTCCTTCTAAAAGTCCTACCCTTGCCATTGCTAAGTTTAGATATGTTCCACGAAGACAAGACGAACTCTTGCTTGAGAAAGTGGCTGGTGGCTGGTGGAGAGGTAGAAAAGAGCATAATATCGGCTGGTTCCCTTTTAACTACGTTGAGACTGGGAGACCTTCCAGAGACCCAGTTGATAAACCAGTTAGTATATGTGGAGTAGTTGCACTGCACAGTTTCAATTCAGGGCACCCAGAGGAACTATCGTTCAATAAAGGAGATCGAATGGATATAATAGACCAACCTGCTGATGATCCTGACTGGTGGAAGGCTCGTAAACCTGATGGTGTCACTGGTCTGATACCTGGTAATTATGTTAAAGTAATTGAAGACACTGCTCCTGTGTCTGGGGATAATTATTATTTTAACAACATTAATTCAGCTAAAGGGCTGAAGATTTACTTTCCTTGGAGTGTCACTTCGGAGTTCATGATGATGCGATTAAAGTTATGGGAAACATTCTTCAAAGTTGAATCAATCATGAAGAAAAACCCTCAACCTCCATCCCTTGATAATATCAAACATGTATTAAGTGCATATTACTCAAAATTAAAAGTAGTTAAGTCAAAAGTGGCTCAATGTCAAGATATACATGAGATTTTACGATTAGTACGTGATAATAGCCCTCTTGATGACATTAGTGGTCTGGGGTTTTTTATAAGTGAGTTCAGTATAGAGGAGGCTAAGGTAGTTATTCAGGAATATAAGGAAGCTGTTGAGAAGTTTAAAGAAGAAAAACTTAAATTGTATTTGGAAAAACAGTTATCGCTACTTAAGTACGAAAGGATCACCATTGTCATTGATAAAGATGCTAATGATTTTGTACTTAATGATGTACAAAGACTATCATCAGCTGTATTACCCCATCATGTCAGAATAAATTTAAATGTCATTAGAGGTGTTGGTGACGATGATATGTGGGGAGTTAGAAAACAAAAATCATTCACTGGTACTTTTGATGACCCTACTGTACAAAGTAAAGATATGTTTGTAACTGAAATACCAGCAGGTACATTATTATTAATATGATACATAATATAACTATTGAGTATAGGAACAACAGAATCAGTGAGCCATTCTTACCAGGAGGAGGAAGACAGAAAGGATAAGGATCAAGTTATGTTGCTACAGGAGATTCAAAAGCCACTGGAAGAAGAAAAGGAACTCCATGAAAAAAAGAAACAATTTCCTGAACAAGTTATAAAGAAATACGAAGAGAGAACAGCAACACTTACTGAACAACAGGAGGAAGTTACTGGAGACTTGAAACACAAGACAGAACAATATGAAGAATTAATATCAGGTTAATATACATATACATTATATTATAGTGATAATTATTTTGATTATAACCTACCATGTATATGTACTTTTTGTATGTGACATGTATAATGTACATGTATATCTTATATTTAGTCATGTGTGTTATATACTTTAGAATTGAAGAATGAAATACAAAAGGTTAAAAATGAAAGCGAAACATTTCAAAGTATGTACACACGCATTATTAAATTTACTAGTTAATGACCTCTTCTTATAATTAGAACAAAGGAAAGCATTGATACTGGAGAATGAAAGATTAATGTCATTATTAATAATTAAAGATCATAATGGTATACTTATTATTATTGATTATTAATAAATTGTATTGTATAGTACCAGT